AAATATTTCATCATCATCCTTTTCCTTTTCCTGACTTTTGTAGTCCTTGACAGTACTTGCTTCAAGTGACTGAATTAATGTCATTTCTGCTTTTTCTGCAACATTTTGTGTTTTCTTTGACTCAGTGCTGGATTGTTTGTGGAACTTCCAGGAAGGCTGCTTGGTTTTAGTCACTTTAGTTGGAGTGTGTTTCACTGGTGGCTGAGAGGTGTCACTGACAGCCTCAATATCTGGGGTTAGACTTCTGGCTGTGTCACTGCCTTCATCATTTGAATCAGAAATGTCAATGCTCTCAGTTTCAAAATTTGATTTCGTTCTTCATTCAGCAATAAATGGCTCTAGCCATTGTAAGTAAGGATATATTTCTGATAAATTTGATTTCACCTCCATAACATTATCGCGACCTGTCCCAGAAACCTTGACTTTCTTTAATTTTTTCTTCTCTCTACTGTACCTGTTATGCAGGTACAGTTTCAGAAATATGCTTGTGCCTCGTCTGTGGAGAAATTTTACTCCAGTTAAGAAATAAAAATTTATTTATTTTTTATTATACTTTTTATTTTAAATTTTTTTCTTAGTTTAAGTGATTCTCTTCGCTTCTCACTTTAGAAGTTAACTAGCCACTTAAAAAAACATTTGAGAATGAAACAATTTAAGATGTGAGGAATCCTGAATTGAAATAATCTCGTCCACCATTTGTCTTTACATTTCACAAGGGAAGAATTGCAAATCATTCATATTACCTTTCGTCATGCCCATTGTATTACCACCTTGAAACCAGGCTTGTGTTTTCTTGTTTTTGTCTTTAAAATCTGTACACCCCTTGTCATATAAGACTCCATAGTTGCGAACAACCTCGGAAAACTTTTCATGAAAGTCTTTAGGGACAGCTTCGACCATTTTGTTGAAATGCTCAAGTGTGGGGGAAACTGGAGCGAGTGAGAACCTGATGGCCGCCTCACCACCTGTGTATACAGGAAGCTCACGCACACTTATCAATACTTAGCATATGATTTACATCACCCTCAATTCCTTTAGAGCATCTACGAAAACCATTGGACTACAGTACCCACCTTTGTTTTCTAGGACTGATAATTAACTTGGCAGCACCTTGTTGACTATTCCCTCAAAGAAAATTTGAGATTGTAGTCTAACTGTTAAAAATATTTTATCACTCTCATGTCTTTCCAAAATGGCACACTTAGCTCTATGTCTTCACATTTTGAATGCTATTTTACTTGTGTCTCTTTTAAGGGAATAGCTTGCTCTAATGATACAGCCAAAGTACTTTCACAAATGGAACCTGCACCAAGAAGAGCCTTCAATGTCAAATATCAAACCTATTGTGGGTGATGACCATTACATAATTGCTGAGCTGTTGTCAATTTCTCCTTTGGAAGTTCCAGTGGCTGCATTTTCAACCAAGAGATGCTTTGAATAAGTCACTGGTTTTGATGGAACTGCCTTTGCTTGTGGAGATTATGTGATTGCATTAGTCAATGGGCAGGGAACTGTCATCCAGCAGCAAGAATTTGTGTCTGTCCACAGTGAAGGTTTTTTGTAGGTTATTGGGCCAAGGAATTTGTTATCCATTACAACTAAGAGACAATCATGAACCTGACAGAAACTTTTGGAGTGGTTTTGTTAAGGCTAAATGCCAACCTCTTGCCAACTCCATGGTCTTTTTAGTTGAAGATATTTGCAGGAAAGTAGTTCTCTATCCAAGTGATCACAATTTCTTGACAGAAGTTGATTACACGTAACAGTTCAAGCAACTTCCATTTACCTTAATTGTATCTGTATATCCTGAGGTAGGGGACATGATACTTATTCAAGGTGAATCTAATGGAGACATTTGGCATGGACACATTCAAAGTGTTGACTTTATTAACAAGACAG